TGAGATCCTGAGCAATGCGTAGCTCAAAAGCTGAACGAAAAGTTGAAAGACAAACTCGCTTGCTGGTTCGACAAAACAACGGGTACTAGCATAAACAAACGTACAACCATGGAATAGGCCTGTAGTACAGAATGGACATATTCTACAACCAAACAAAAATTTCGGTATTTTGATAAAAGTTATATTTTTACGATGGACACATGAATACATGTTCCACTAACCGACATTTATGAAAATTCGACTTCTGTTCAAGCTGGGGCTCACCTTCGAGCTGAGCAGCAAAATTTAAACGTCTGATCGCCATTTCACCTACCTGTTGGAGCAAATGATGTCGCGATGTTCGCAAAACTTTAGTATTTAAATTTATTTATCAAATAAATTCTTTCACTCGCCATCAAACAAAACTCCTTGCAGCTTTCAATGTCGTCAATCCATCAATCGATTGTACCTGAAAGTGAAATATATCCATTCTAGTTAAGGAACTCTGTAAGAATCTTAAAGTTGTGCGATGGCCTGTAGGCTGGTCGTAATTTGTATCTATGTGTGTCAGTGACGCATTCCCAACGAATGAGTATATGGAGATAAAAAAACTTATGATTTTAATGCGCATGTCGGAGTAGATGCTGAAAAGCGCAACGGCGTGATTGGAAAAAACGGTACTAGCCACCTCAACAATAACGGCATGAAGTTGTTGCGGTTTTGTGCAGACAACGGATTGTCCGTTATGAACACCTTCTTCGAGCATCGAAGAGTGCATCGGTACACCTGGTATCGGGAAGCTGGTGCACAGAAGTCGATGATCGATTTGATAATCGTATCGTCTGACTTAAGACCCTCAGTAATGGATGTTCGCGTTAAGAGAGAAGCAGAGCTATCAACCGATCATCACTTGGTTGTTATCATGCTACGCTGTAAGAAATGGAGTACCATAAGAAGATCTGGTGACAGAAGCAACCGGAGAATCAAATGGGAAACATTATTTTCGGTGGACACGAGAGCGAAATTTGCAAACAACATCGCACGGCGGTGGAAATAGATCCCAGTGATGGCAACTGAGGTTGAAACCGAGTGGCAGCTCTTTAAGAGCGGCATACTCGAGGCTGCCGCTGAATGCTGCGGATTTAAACAGGTTGAGTTATCGCCCAGAGGTCATAAAAGAACATCCTGGTAGTGATGAGAGGTACAACTGACAGTTAAAGACAAGGGGTTGCATTCAAGAAATGACTTGGAAGCAAAGAGCCTTCTACTCGCATGTGACATGTCGAAGTACGCAAGGCGGCAGCGAAAGCAGTGACGAAATCGAAAGCAGAATCCTGGGAAAACTTCGGTGAGGTATTATATTCAAATTCAAATCGCAAACAAGATATTCTGGAACAGCATCCGCCACCTTCGAGGTGAAAAGAAGGACAGTCTTATAGTTTTGAAGGACAGGTCTGGATACTCTCTTGCCGAGGATAAGGACATTCTTCGGCGAGGCAGAGGGCACTTTCATAAGCTTTTTAACTCCGAGACTCGCCTACAGAGCAGCCGACAACAGATATTACTATTTATCTAGATGAAAAGTTTGCACGGTCGAAAGGCTGCTGAAATTGATGAAATTCGCCCTTAAATGCTGAAAGCATTAGGCGAACAAGGCATGTGATGTCTTACACGTGTCGGTGAAACTGTACCACCAGCGGACTGGAGAACGGGAGTTTTAATACTGATGTTCTAAAAGGGAGATCAGATGGAGTGCTCCAATTATCGGGACATTACCTGATTGAGCTTCCCTGGAAAAGTCTAAAGAAAGGTTCTAGAAAAGAGCTGTCACGGAATAAATAACTGCAAGATACAAGAAGAGCAGTGTGGCTTCCCGCCCAGTCGAAGAACCTTTTCTCATACATTTCTTTTGCGCCAGGCAGTTAAGAAATGGTGCGAATTCGCCGATCCGTGCTTTGCTGCTCTAGACAAATTCTGTAACCGAATCCGGCGCAACAGTCTGTAGTCTTCTGGAATCGAATACATGGAATCGATGTCGAACATATAGGATCAATGGCCAGCTGCTGTGGGCCATCCAATCACTATATGCTGATAGCAGGTGCTGCGTCAAACTAAATGGCGTTAAGTCGAAACCATTCAACGTTCGCACTGGTCTCCGCCAAGGCTGCGTCCTGTCTCCTATCCTGTTTGTGTTGTACATGGATAGAATA